GAGAGAGAGAGAGAGAGAGAGAGAGAGAGAGAGAGAGAGAGAGAGAGAGAGAGAGAGAGGGGATCAGAGTTTCATTCTCTCGCCTGTCGCATACCTTACACCAGGCAGCTTGTTCTTTTTTCCTTTTTTTTTTTGGGTCTGAAGGTTGCTGACCTATTCTCTTTTTTCCTTTTCTGATTAATGCAGTCATTAACTGCCACGGCATGATAGATGTTCAATAACAACAGAATCAACAGACTACTGAGTTTTGCTGGTCTTTTGTCAGTGAGATCTGTTTCCTAATTTTCGGAATCATGTCCGGGGTATCGACAACATCCAACGGAGTCCAACCCTTCTTCTTGACATCCTTTTCTTAATTTATTATATTATCTTAATTTATTATCTTAATTTATTATCTTAATTTATTACCTTTATTTATTATCTTTATTTATTATCTTAATTTATTATCTACTTAATTGGCTGGTGCCTCCTTAGGAGGTTATGTCCAAGTCTCCAAGATGGGAAGTGTAGTCTATTGGTATGTGTAGGCCTCCCACTGGGCAATTCCTTATGTCTGTTTTCCACGACCACTCGGCTGAGTCTATTTTGAGTTGTCGTCAAAGGTTTCCTGGACCCACCAACTCTATTTCGGCAAAGGACAGTCACACTAATTTTCAAGACTCTATTTCGAGTTTATTTTGAGTTGTCGTCAAAGGTTTCATAAACTCTATTTCGAGTTGTCGTCAAAGGTTTCCAAGACTGCTTATATTACTGTCACTTGTGTGTGTTTATTTGTTTGTTTGTTTGTTTGTTTGTTTGTTTGTGTTTGTTTGTTTGTGTGTATTTTTTTTTTTTTTTTTTTGAATCTGGACCATTTCTCGATTTATGCGTGTCATCCTTGCGCAGGGGCCATGCTAATATTCTCTGTATCGTTCCAATTTTAAGGGATGTCCCGAAGGACTACTGTCACTTGTTTTAGATTAGTGTGCATTTTTTTTTTCTGTTTATGATCCTGGCTCCATTCCATTCTGGGGAGCGTCAGTCCGGTTCCTATTCGCCCGGCAAGTCAAAGGATTTACATGTAATACACACTCACGATTCCTTCCGTCAGGCCGAAGGATCCCTGACCAGCATTGATTACTCCCTTGTAGGAGGATTGATTTCCAAGCCGGCCAGATATTCCTCTAACTAACTAGAGAAGTGAGAGGTTTTGGAAAAAGAGCCAGGACCACAAGGACCTGTTTTGTTAAAAAAAAAAACAAAAAAAACAAAAAAAAAGATTAATGTGCCTTTAATTGCGGTCTTGGCTCTATCCTTTATTTCCTTTTCTTTTCTTTTCTTTTCTTTTCTTTTCTTTTCTTTTTTTTTCTTTCTTTCTTTTTTTTTTTTTTAAGTAAAAGGAGCATTTCATTAGTAGATTGAAAAAAGAGGCCGGGGACGTCACAATTCGACCCGAGGTTATGCCGGCCAGTTTTTTTTTTTTTTTTTAATCGGTTATGAGGAAGTCGAAACTTCGTTTCTCTCCTTTCCTGCATGCCCTTCCTAACAATTCCTGAATTCCTCTCAGCTGTTGTAGCTGTCGGCTATTCGTTTTATTCTGGAGTCACAAGGTCCTGCCTAAAGGGGCCCGTCCCTTCGTCTGTCTACCTTTGCCGCTGCTCTGCTGTGTCCTGCTCTGTTAACCGTCCTTTTCGTTTTCCCTGTTTCCATTGTCTTATCCTCAACAGGCTTGGGATCGACGAAGAGTTAGTGCGGCAGCTTGGACTCTGGTCACCGGTAAGTCAGAGGAGAGAGAAGATGTGCATAACGCACATTTCTCTCTCTCTCTCTCTCTCTCTCTCTCTCTCTCTCTCTCTCTCTCTCTCTCTCTCTCTCTCTCTCTCTCTCTCTCTCTCTCTCT